GGAAGGGAAGGGAAGGGAAGGGAAGGGAAGGGGAGGGAAGGGAAGGGAAGGGAAGGGAAGGGAAGGGAAGGGAAGGGAAGGGAAGGGAAGGGAAGGGGAGGATCCCTGCTGCTGATCCCTGTGGGACAATGGGGCAAGACCCATTTCTAGATTTTCATTGCGGAGATCAAAGGGTGGTTTCACCCAGCCCGGGAAGGGCCCTTCTCTGTCCTTCCTGTCACCCTGCCTGGGACTGAGCAGCCCGGGGCTCCTTTGCACTTTGTAGGTGACAGATTTTAGTCACCTCTTTGGAGACAATGGGAGATCCGGGGCGGCCTCAGGCTAGTGGATTGGGCTGCTTAGGGAAGATGAAAGGCAGGATAAGGAAGAGCCCGGAGGAATCTCCTATTTTCTTGCCTTTACACCAAGGTCTTGCACCGGGATTAGTTTTACGGTGAGGACAGGGCAGAATTCACTGGTTCTCCTCCCAAGCTGGTTCAAAATAGCTGTTTGTTTTTCCATCTACACATAGGACAGGAGTCGTGAACACCAATACAGACTGAAGAGATCACAGAAGTACAGGGGAGGGCTATTAAAATACATTATTTACAAGAAAGGGTGGCTCCTTTTACAAATTCTGTGCAAGATAGAAATAGCTGAATGGCCTCAAAGTTAGTATGATTAATTACAACTGGGGCTTCCATACAGTGATACTTCAGGTTTGAAAAGCTTCGTGTTAGCCTGGCCCCAACTCCTGAGTCATATTAAGCAAAATGTGAATCCAAACGATTGTTGTGGGTGTTCAAGTACAATGAGCTGCAGGTCAAAGGTTTAAGAACACATATGAGAAGCTTGAGTGGAGGAAGGATTGAAAAATCAGTCGACAGAGCGGAAAATGGGACTTTTTTCCTGTTAACCCTGCATTCTAGTTGGCACAAATTTGCCTCAGAAGTCCTTGGCAGCTTTACTAAATACCTACTCCTAGTTATAAATGGCATGACCTAGATGAAGATTTGTAGCTAGGCAAACTGCTACAGAAAGAATTTTTTTTTTCTTTTATAGGATTCGCCTCAGATTACTTGGTTGCGTCTCAGAAGATGTGCCATATGGCTTGGAACACCTCAGGAATATATGAATTACGTTCTCTTGCATGCACTTCTCTGAACGTTTTAAGAATCATATCCGAGTAAAGTAGCAATCTCTCCACAGCAGTAAGATTATTTTAAACAAAAATCAAGCAACCAACCGTCATGACCTTTGAGTTACTCTTCCTGTGGTAGACATGGCTTATCAGAAGGAAACATGCTGGGTTCAATTTAAAGGTTTTTCTTCGCCGGGTCTGGAAGAGTGAGAGTTTCTGGAGCAGACTTTTTCCGAGGCCGCTCTTTGGGAACTGTCAGGAATTCAGGAGCATCTGTAGAGAGAGGAGTAGACGGAGCACTAGACGGAGCACTGCGGGTTGAAGAAGGCATTGCAATGTTAGAGATAGATATTGTAGGCGGGAAAATCCCAATTTTCTTGTTGGTGGCTTCCTGAGTTGCTCGTTCGAAGTCTCGCACTTCATCCATTGTCATGTCTTCAACAAGAAGAAAAGAGAGAGAAATGGCCGGTTAGAATCGTTTCATGGGAGCATTTCCTTAACTCCAGCTCCTGAGCCTGTACTGAGCGTAACCGGGAGCGCTCCCTCTGGAGCGGCTACAAAACTCACGTTTTGGAGGCCGTTACAAGGACACACACGGCACCGTCACACTGGCTGCTTACTGTGATTATTGAGGGAGGGAACATTTCTTTCCCCAAACAGCTCCCACCAATTCCTAGCTGCAGCTCTATGCACAGAGCTCAGGCCAATATGTGCTTTCCATAGGCAGAATCTAAAAAGCTCCTCGTTTGCTAAAGCCACCACACCTTTCCAGACTTCCCATCCACAGCCAGTACTTAAGTATTTACGGACAACTGACAAATCTGCTGCTTGCTCCCTGGAAATGAGATGCAGGATGAGACTAGATTGGTTGGGTTAAAGCCACATTGCAATGGAAAAACAGCTCCACGGAGCAGCGGTTAGGGGCAGCGAGGGTCTCCTGCGGGTGACACGTGTGTCACGCTGCTGCAGGCGCCACAAGAGGGCAGCGCCAGCTCGCGGGGACGGCGCCGAGCTGCGCTCCAGCCTTCCTATCACATCCTCAAGGAGCCACATCTACCAACACATCCACGGAGCAAAGAGCCAGCAACATCTTCCTCTGTGCACTGCTTCAGCTCTGCACGCCCTGCAAGGCATCCTCTGGGCCAATTCAAGGAAATTTACTTTTCTTTTTTTTTAAACCCTCAACTGAGATTTCTGCTCCACACTGACACCACTCAGGATGCCTCTGGTGAAAGTAAGGGGGACTGAAGAAATTTGTGCCCATCTTGATGCGGGAGGATGGTGGGACAGGGCGAACTTGTCTTCTGTACCCGTGTAAGAGGAACCAGGGTTTGCTGTGTCTAGACTTGCTGCTGAATCCATGGCTACTACCAGACTCTACCCTTTCCTGACCAGTGTCTTCAATTTGTGCGACGCCACTATGGATGGCATGCTGCTTGGCACGTATTTTCAAGGCAGAGACAGTCAAGTCTCATAAAATCATTTTATGGGCTCTCCTAGCTCTGAAAGAACATAAAAACATAGAAATAAAAAGTAATGATATTTTAATCAATTTGAATTACTGCACGTTGTGAGTGTCTGAGACGTGGTCTAGCAACAGCACTTATCATAAATACGGCAAAATCCTATACTTCCAAGACACAGATACTTCTTAATATTGCCCAGCTGCATGCATCTGTAGCCTTGGCTGCAAAAAGCGATGTGAGGGAAGCTTGATGTTGTATTAAAACATCATATTAAATGAGCAAAACCAGCCATGTTGCCAGCTGCCTTCTCCCTTCCCTCTAGATTACATCCCAGGGACTTGTTCAGCCCGCAGAGCTCTGCCAGTTAGCAGGAATGAGGACTAAGCTATTTTCAAAGCTGAGATAAGTGCTGGAAATAAAACAGATGGTCTCCAAGGAACTGCATCTACTTCTGCTGCAGATAGATTTGAACCTGCTTCACTCCTTTACATCCTGTCTCACTCTAAAGCAGGGCATACAGCGTTTCTGAACTTGGACCATTTAAAAGCACGTGGACATCAAAGGAGCCGGTGCAGCCGCCTCAGCTCGCTGCTGAGCAGAGCAAAACTTGCCTTGAATGAGAGCGAAAGGGGACAGGCAGATTTCCCACTTTACTGGCCATTAAAGCAAAAGGATTTCCTGAAGTTTTGTTTAAGTGGCGTCCTCCAAGACTGTCCATTCTGAATTCGGATGCGAATGCAGTGCCCTTTCAGTTAAGTTCTGTGCTTTATCTCATGCTCCCTTCTGTGCTGATAGTCGCTCAAGTAAAACTAGTCCTCACCCTGAGCTAAAAGGATGCGGAAACACGTGGCTGCTCACTGCTTTTAATAATGCTCAAGCTTCATTGCTTTTGGGTTTTTTTTTTTTCTCATAAATGACAAATTCTGTCCTGCCCTCAATGGCAGTTTTGATACACACAAACTAACTAAGAATGTCAGACTTTTTAGTCAAAAACAAATCCTGGAATGTAACGTCCAATCCAGAATGGATTCTCAAGTCAGTAATGGGGTAAGAAGTAACTTTGATGTTAATGGTATTGCAGCAATATCAAGACAAGAATAAAGCTCCCAGGTATTACTTAAGGAACAGCTTCTCAGTCTGGCCAGAGCCTTCCGGGAACAAGAACAAGGGCAGCACTTCAGGGTTTAAGAGTTAACCCTTCGTGCCTTGCCCAATGCTTGTTACACGTAAATGCATCATTGAGTTGTGGGGCTCAGTTAGGAGAAACAAAAGAAAAATAATGTGGTTTTTTTTTGACAGCATTAAAATTACAGAGAAGTAGAATTCTATATAATTCTACAGAATACAGAATATAGAATTATATAGAAATAAGTTCATAATCCCTTAGCAATTTTTCCTGGTGAGGCAAACCAGGAAAGTTTTATCTGTTCCATAGAAATTTTCCACTCTCCATGTTCTTGGCTTTTTGACTAATGCACTCTGAACTCCTGCATAACTTTTAAACTACTCAAACAAGAGAAGGTAAAAGAGATACTTAAACCCCCTGCTAGGCATTTTAGGCATCCAGCTGAAATGTGAGAGTTCTGTTTTGCTGGAAGACAGGGAGTTGTGCGAGTGCAACCCCGCCCTTCCTTAGAGCAGTCCCGTTCACCGTGCAGAGAAAAGTGGGATCGCACTTCCCGGAGACAGACTCTGCTCCCATGGAAGCAAAACTTGCCCTGAGTTGCGTGGACTGGCCGGCAAGATCAGCTGGTTGGGAGTTGGTTGCTCTTCGCTGATCTGTGCGGGGATCTCTGTGATCTCTATGAGCTGGGGGGGGGCAATATGTTTTAAAAATCGACATACTCTTGCTTTGGCATGGCTCTCTATTTCATCCACAGTAGATGAATGTTGATTGCAAACTTTAATGTTGGTTTTCTCATGCATATTTTTCTCGTATTCTCGAACATCATCCATAGTCATATCTGTAAAAAGTTCAAAATTGTTGGCATTTTCCATTGGTTCAGTGAAAACTTTTTTTTCCTCTCAAGGAGAAGGTTCTAGGAATACATACACTTTTCAGCAGAAGCCAAAAAGGATTAAAAAAAAAAAAAAAAAAAAGGCAGGGAGCAACTAGCTTTATGAAAATTGACTCATAAAGGTAGTTATATCAGCCAAGGAAGGTACAGAAGGTTAAGTCCAAGGGAGTCAGAGAACAGGAAGGAGTGGAAATTGTTTAGGAGTATCTGTGTAACAGAAGAGGTGAAAAATACTGAAGTGCATGTCTTGGCAAGGTGAGAATCTTCTAAAAAGCTTTTAGAAGATCCCTTGGAATAGAAAATAGAAGTAAAACTACTGTAAAGCTTACCTTTCTCGGAACTTGCGGAAGGATTTTATAATGTTAGCTTTGCATGCTATGTCTCATAGCCAGGAAACTCTTTTAAGACACAATCAGCTTAAATTCCAGAAACTACCACTTAATTACACTGCTCAGTGGATTACTAGTGAACACTTTAGTAGTTTTGTGGCCTCAAACCATTGAACAGATTAAAAAAGTTCTACAATTCAGGCAAATTCTACTGGATTTGTTTATCACTGCCTAAGCATGCCTGATGTTGAACTAGTGAAAAGTCTCTTAGTTGCTTGTTACGTAACTCTCAGCAATTGTGGGGTATTTTGAAATGTTTTTGTCATAAATCATGGGGTTTTTTTAGTAAAAAAAAAAAAATCCAATTAGCTAAAATTACTCCAAAATGTGTACCACCTCCAGTAATGTAACCTCATTACAGTTCTTGAGGTTATCGTTTTTCTCAAGTTTATTATGTGCCACTTGGATTTGAGAAATCTTTTATCACTCCTTGTTATATGATATGAGACTCTTGCTTCACAAGGTTCCTTTTAAGGGAAGATATAACTTCATCTATTTTATCAATAACACAATGCAATCCTTTATCAGTGAAAACCAAGTGCAGTGTAAAATATTGATCAAAATGAAACATGGAAGTTACACCAACATTAATATTCTTTCAAGCTATTCTTTTGCTGTTATCTGGAATGAAAACCAAGCTTACAAGCTATGTAAGGAACATGCATTTTTGCCAAGCAAAGAACATGCATTTTCTTAGTTAGTAATATTGTGAAATAGATTTTCTTAATAACAAAGCTAAATACAGTTCAGTAAATTTAATAACAAAAAACACATTCATACTTGTAACAGTAACATAGTACGTTAATAGTTGATTTCAATATACTGATTATTTCATTCAGGCTAGCTGACTTACATCGTCTCAGAATCATTCTCAAACTTTTAATTTAAAAGAGGATAATAGACACACTGAAGACACACATATACGACCAAAAACAGATATTTTAAAAAAACCTCTCTCCACTCCCCCATAAAAAGAACAATACCAAAAGAGCAGCACAGATCAAATGCATTAAATTATACTGGTTGTGTAGAAACCGGAGCTCACTAATTCTGGATAGTGGAATACTCTTTATTATTACACTTTATTTTAGAAATACTTTCTAGTCTGAACGATGTAGGTACATGGGCTGCAGACTGCACAGACAGGTGCCTAAATTAACCTGCTGCATTTTCTATTTTTTTAATAAATCTTGCTATATGTTTAGCCTTTATTCATATTTATTTTAGCAAGCCTGGGTGTTTTTTTAGGTTTTGTGCTTAACTTGACAGTTAAGTACTAAAATCAACTATATTATTTAGTGAATACTCTCATTAGGACAGGATACAAAGCAAGATAATTGTGTACTGCGCTATTTAATTTATGGAAAGAGTATTTTTGGCAGGGTTCACTGAGAGGCAAGGTAGGCAATTTGCAGCCAAATGTTTTGGGGGCCTAAAATGATCCCATATGTTTAATTTTATAATTATTCACTTGTGCTCTGTATCAAGAACTTTGCAGAAGTGCAGCTAACTCTAGGTTTCCCCATAACATTTACATCTTGCTTTAAAATATATTTTGGGATAGTTTTATAAGCTTTGGTGAGAAGCCAGGAACTTTACATTTGTTTAAAGTCATCAGTTAAAATGTCTTTGTACTCTCTTTGATTGCCATATTATATTCATAAAATCCGAATACGTTATATATAAAGACCTATCACAGATTCTGGAAGAGAAACAGAACTCTAATGTTACGGAAATAGTTAAATATGAAAGGAAAAGGTACATAATTGTATCTGTTTGAAAAAATCATTTGAAAACAGTCAATTTTGAAAATATCTCAAGTGATTATCTTGGAAAGTATCTTCATTTGCAAGATTTTCTCCGTTTCTGGGAAAAGGAAGTATATTCTAGATAGCTAAAGAGAACTAATGTTCTCAAAGGTCTTTATTTCAATTCATGCATACACATGATCTAGGCTCGTGTAGGGAGATAATGGATCACTACATTTCTTGTAAGAAATCAATAAAAAAAAAAGAAATCAGGTATCTTAAGAACTCTTATTACTGGATACTCATTTATGGCTACCTGCAAATAAAAACCCCCACATATATTTTAGCTGATTTTAGTATTTTTAAGAGCATTACAACACAAGCTTTCTCATGCATTGTTAAATTTATACTAATATAAATTGTGATTTCAAACAATTTTTTTTCCTAAAGTTTCAATTAGTTCGATCAAGTTGTAGATAGGTTCTGGTATAAAATTATGCAACTTTATGAAGTCACTGAAGAAGTCACTATGTGTTTACCCCAGCTGCCATCACTGAGTCTGTATCTGCGCTATGCTGAATGTTTCTGAGTTCTGATGAAAGACAGATGTCATTTTTAACCATGAATGGCCCCATACAGTATTTTCCTGAAACTTAAGCAGGGTCTGATATAATCTAAGCAGGTTCCCAAATGCTATTCTATGTTATAAGAATGTTCTACAAGTATCTCTGATTATGGTGACATCATATTGAAAATGTATGTAAAAAGGACTCCAGTGAGTTTACTGTACAGTGTACATACCTATAAATATGTAAATAAATATAGTTGGTTGTGTTGATGTTTAGAACTACCCTGTACCATTGAAAGTGCCCATTCCCACAGCTGGTGCAGGGATTCAGAGCAGTTTTTACATGCAGCTGCTGTTGAATCCGACTGAGTAGGTTTTATATTCATATCCATTTTGCAGAAAGGACTTTAAAAGCTCCTTTTTTTTTTATTTGCAATTTATATTAACAGTCTAAAACCTTCCTGAAAAGCTGAAAATGTGTTGGATCCTAGGCCTTAAAAGTTTACAGTACGGAAATGATTCCATGTTAGTACAGTCTTACTAAGAAGCTTTACTCAAACCTGCCTGCTGTTCTCCATATACAGATGACTCTGCAGGGAGAGCTTCCATCCACCTAAAACACAGAGTACCTGGACATATGTGTGTACTCCAGGATACAGGGAAATACAGAGGGCCCATTTTGGTACCCACTGTCTGTCTAAAACACAGCCTATATTTGTATAAAGAACCTGCTCTAAATGAGCTGTTCATACTCCAGAGAAATTGAATGTAATTCCAAGTCTTTCATGATCAATTCATATTTATATTGGAACCTGATGGTCTATGAAAGCCAGTGAAAATCTGTCATTTTTTATAAGCGTTGGATCAGCCCTTTTAAATGTGTTTAATCGGGAGCAGACTTACCATACCACTCATCAACCCAGGCAAAAGCCTGCCGGTGTCCAAGCAATAGGATATCTCTGACCACCTGCAACATAAGGAAACAGAACACCCTTTAATAAACAATTTAGAAAAGTAAAACTGCTGTCTTTCAGATTTAGGTCAAAAAATGTTCTGACACTTCTGTCACTAAAAAGACATACACTAAAGAATCACAGAAATACTGACCAAAAGGGACCTCTAAAGGTCTTAGAGTCCAATCTCCCACTTGAAATAGGACTATTGTCACCTCCAGATCCGGTCCATATGGCTTTAGCTACCTTGGGAATCCAACTGGGAATAGTATGTACAGAATTCGTTAATCTTTGGAAAAGTAGATGGGAACCTTTTTCCCTTTCCCCGTTATTTTTTTCAGTTCAATACTCTGAGTGTAAATATCAGTACTCTGAGAAAACATTAGCATTTGGCAGTTATGCCATTTATTAATTCTTTAGTAGACCGATTGGAAAACTCTCTCACTACATGTCTGTAAGAAGCCCTGCACATCCTGGTTACATGTAAATTACTCATTTATACTCCCAAATAATTTAGGTTTCATCTTTAGCACAGCATTGAGAAGGCAAGCGCTAGTTGTCTCAAGTTTTGGATCTGAGCAATTACAGACTTTGGCAAGTTTATATGTGGAGATGAACATTCCAGCTGTACTCCAGATCTTCCAAACCTTGAGAAAGGCCTGAGAGCAGGTTCAGCTGATCTCCCTAGCTCCAACACAGGGTGTGTGTTGCAACACATTCATGTGCTGCATAGCGTTCTGCTCATGCAAAGGGTAGGAAACAGCTGTTCACTGGCCTTGTGTACAAATTGCTCCACTCTGGTTTGAAGGCCCCAAACTTCAAATTTCACAGTCACAAGTTTATAGGAACACATAATTGGCTGGTGAGTCTCTCTCCAGCCTTCCTTTAAGTGGCCTCTCCCAGTCTTCTGTGACTTGAAATACTTAGGGTCCTGCAAAACAAGGGAAACACATTCAGAAATCCTGGACAGAAAGTCCAACTTATAATTTGCTAAAGTAAATGTTTTAATAAGATGTAAAATATCAAGACATGTTAACAAAAATATGAAAAAGTAGTATGAAATCTACTCAAATAAACATGAGGCTCTACAAAAATCAAATCCTGTCTTTTATCCAGATGCCAGTGAATTGATGGTAGGAGTATAGTCTTGGAGATGCTTTAAAGCTAATTTGATTTAGGAGTTCTTTTTTTTTTTTTTTTTTTTTTTTTTTGCTAAAGGAAAATATGACACGTTAAGCATGTGCTTAAATTATGTGCTAAGTCGGATATGACCAATGGAAAAAGTGATCTATTCTCATTAAGAATTTTCTGCCATTCAGTGTGAACTTATGTATCATTCAGCTGTACTCCTTTTTTTTTTTCCTAGTGTTTATAGTTGTGAAACTTTGCCATTAAGCCTTCTTTATCAAGCTCTAACGAGCTGATAGTCTTCTCTCCCTGTGAAAGTCATTGCTTTTATTGCTGACACATTCTTTCCTTCACAGAAATGTGAAGCTTGCAGTATAATAAGGTTTCACCTTTAAATCACCATAAAAAACAATTCAGTGTCATCATATATCAGAGCAACATTCCACTGTGTATCACCAGCTCATAGTCACATGGTGTTTGCCAGTCTTCTCATTCAATAAAGCTTGACCTCAGCTTGATCTGGATATTTTCTAGTTGAAAAGAGCTGTTTTATAACTAACTGCCTTAAGCAAATAGTGTATTTAAAAAGTATATACAGATATAGATACATAAATACTATGAGTAAATTAGAAAGGCATAGAATTCTGGAAAATGGTTCAGTGAATAAATAAACTAAAAAAAAAAAAAATTAAAAAAAAAAAGATTTCAAAGATTCCAGGAAAAAGTAAGAATTTCTAAAAAGCAAAATCAAAAGGAAATACTGGTTCCAAGGAAGGGGCTTTTGTTTCCTACATGGGTGTACAGTGCAAGTGCAAAGGAGCCTTGGTCTTGATTAAGCTCCTCAGAAATGCTCCTTAATAACAGTGTTATGGAGAGGTATTTGGTATCATTCACTGATAATGAGCTCTATAATAGAATAACTTCAATGCAGTCCAAAGGGATTAATGTAATTATTTTGGCTCAGTTTCAATGTACAGCTACATCGCACGACTCCTCGGATATGCCTCAAACCTGTGTTTTCCGCAGCCCCTCCAGATGCTGTGAAAGCAGCGTGAGGGTTTTGTTTTGCTTTGTTTTTGTAAAGTTAACCCAGCAGACAAGGGGTTTCATAGCAGAAACCTTTATAGTGATGTCCCACAAACAATCCATCCGCAGCAAGGCTGTTTTTCCAGGGCATTACTCCTAGTTGCAAATTTTAACAGGTCCCCGAGGTGACGCCTTTGCTTCCCTCAATCATATTCCTGCTTCTTGAAGGACAAGAAGTTCTGTCAGAAATTGGCTGGACAGTTTCAAGCAAACAGCCAAGCACTGGCGGACAGAATGGGCACCATCCATCTAATAGCTTTTATGGGAATGCCTTCCTCCTCAAAGCATTAATAGATTGATACTGCGTCCTGTTAACTGGTGAATGATAGACAGGAAAAAGAAAAAAAAAAACAGCAGAGAAATCTGCTTCCAGATTGCTGTGTTAAAGATGAAGATGGTAAAGATGTTACTGAGTGCGTGCTTAGAGCTGATACTCACTTCACTGGGGGCTGAATCTCTGCTCTTCCTTCCACCTTTGCACTTTTTATATAGGTGATGTGGTATTTCACTACCAGTGCAGTAACTAGGCTTTGGATTTCAGATTACAGGGCTAGTGCTGTGGGAGGATCTGATGATGTAAATATGGGGTAGAAATGAGGCTTTTTCTCCCTCCGCCAAGATGCCTCAAAAACAGCCACAGTTGGTCGTAACGGGAGTAAATCTAAGCAGAAATTCAACCACTGTCATCAGAAAATAAGGCGTGTGGTATATGATAATCCAGCCAGCCTTTAGGTAAACTCCCAACTGAAGACAGAGAAAGGCAAATTTCATCCGTTTATCAGTTGCTGCTACATCCTGTGCTGAACTCCTGCTGCAAACTGTCACTGTGGCAGCAGTATTATTTCAACTATCATAATGTTCTGGGCCTCTAATGCAAAAGAAGTTTTATTATTCTGAATGCACCTGGACAGTAGTAAGATGGATCAATTATGGTGCAGCTGTGCGAGAGTCAGAAGAAGACAGCAAATGAAGAGGAAGAGTGGCAGCTGCATGAAATGCTGCTATTTGGAGGTAAGTTTATTCCCTGTGTCCAACTTTCAACTGCTTTGTTATAAACAGGAAATGAAACACTGTGAATTCTGAGAACTTGGGTATGGTGGCAAAGAACATTCTGCTCAACAGCTCAGATCTACAGTAAATGTTTCATTTCAGTGAATGATTCACTTGAGGCCCTTGTTCCTCAGCACAGCTCAGTTTCAAGCTCTTTTATAATTCAGATGAATATATATATATATCTATATGGGGAATACACAGTGGTGGGTGATATTTGTTCACTGTGCTAATTGCAATACTGTCACTTGTATTAATGATATGTGTGTAATACATACACAAGTATATCTTCTATTTAGATAAATGAGAACAACACCACCGAAGTTCATTTTGTCATAAGCAATGAGTTATCTGATGCACAAACTCCAAGAAAGGTCACAGTGAAATTGTAGAAGGGGGGTTTTCATACAGAGGACCTTGAAAAATTTATGATATTGACATGAAGAGCTTACCAAGGACAGCTGAGCACTTTCAAGCTAAAAATAAAACAACTCGAATCACAAATACTAGGGCTGTTTCATCACGTCAGAAACAGCAATCCACCTGTACAGAGAGACTCAGAAACACTAAAAGCAAGCAGTTTAAGAAGCACGCGAAAGGTTTAAATGAAAAGTTTCTCCAAAACAGTACTATAAAAAAATAATGAAAATTACAGTCAAGAACCGAAGTGTTCTCGTCATTTAGGGGATGCATTTTAATCGTGGCAGAGAAGACGGAGCCTATTTCGAGAAGGTGCTAAGTATGCTGCCTCTGATCTGGAACTTGCATGTGAAAGGTCCACTGAAATGAAGAGATCACTGACATGCCCAAACTTAAAATGATTCTCATTGTTTTTACCCGGTCAGAATGCTTATCCCGTGGGATCTAATTCTTAAAACCTGAGGATTGTACTTTGCTGTTAATCACCTTAGCATCAATTTAGATCAATTTATATGAAATGATTTAAGAGCAGCCAACTTTTTATTACTGTAAGTAAAATACCTTTGAAGAGTTAACTGGTTTTAATTTTCTCTTAAAATAGTATTTGAAAAATACAATTTTGCATTTATATAAAATTTTTATATCATTCAGACTGAAAATGGACAGAAATCACATTTACAAACACAAAGCCTTTTTATAGTGCCTAAATTAGGCAAAAGGCCTCTGTAGTACTGAGAATCTGGCTTCATATTCATCATATAGTAGCATTAAAAACACATAGTTTGTAAACTTTAGAATATGTTGAATTCAGTTGTTATAAATTCAGTATCAATTACAGTATATGCAACTTAAATGCTATGATGTTCTCATCATTTTGGATGGAATTTGAAACAGAACTTGGTAGCCAACATATAAATCATGCATCAATACAGGAAAAAAATAACAGATGCTAGGCTATTTTTGTTGTTTAGGAGCATATAAGAAATTCTTGTTTGTTTGGAACCAGGTCTCTAGAATTGTCCTTGAAATAAACACACAGACTTTGACATTGTTTTCTCAGTTTACATATAGCTGCTTTTCTATATCATAGTTAAATCATATGAAAACTAGATTTAATAGCTATTAAAAATAGGAAAGCTTAAAAACTAGATGTTACCTTTATGTTCACAAATTATGGACCTGACAAACTGAGATGAAAAATCTTACATGATTTCTTTAAAGCATGACCAACTGCAGGCCAGTTCAGTAGCAGCTGCCATTCCTAAATAGGCCAGAAGACCATGGAGTTCAAATGAGATGACAGAACCAATAGGTTGTTTCATGAGGTGTTATATAATATTTGATACATAACAGATGGATTTCATTATGGAATGAAAAAAAATACTTTTCATTCTCCTGTAGACCAAATTTTGCTCTATGACCAGTACTTAAATATTGAAATAGGTTCTAAAAATAAAGAGTACATGACTTTTTGAGTCTGAAAAACATGTCTTCTGTGTTACAGAAATATTTTCTTTGGCAAGTCTTCATTTTCTAACCTAAAAATGATTGTGCATGATGTTCTGTGCAGTTAAAACAGCTGCCATACACACTGCCAGCTATGAATATATAATTGGCTCCAGAGGCAAATCACATCTCCAAAACAAAACGCAAGCACAGATCTGATCATTCTGCTCTCTAGCTGCTTGTTCTGAACCATCATTTTTCTTAAATTTGAGGTTAAAAAAAATGAAACCTCAGCTTCATTTACATGGTTGTTGCTGATTTCTAAAGAGTGAATTGCATTGACCTAAAAGAGATGGTTCCTCAGAGATGTGCACTGAACGGGAGCGATTTTCAAGGGATTTTCAAGAGAGCTGATGTGGCTGCTGCCTTTGATGCTCTGGGGCAGCTCTGCAGCAATGGAGAGTTTCTTTGCAGCTTCAGTCCCCCCTGGCCTCGTGCCCTGGTGCATCTGATTCTCACTGAAGGGTTTGTGCTCTTTGCTTGAGGTAGGGTGCTCGTATTGGTTATTAGCTGGACTGGGATGTCGGTATGGAAAACAGCAATGTTTAAAACTGCTCGGAACTGCACGCTTAATGGCTCAAAGAAAAGAAGAATTGTTCTACCCTGAATGACAATCAAAGGCCTGGTGCCGAGACTGAAGATATAGAAGTATTTCAAATGGTTCCAGGAATCACCTCTAAAAGAAAGTGTCAGGCAGGCTGGATAGAGAGAGTGCGATCGGCTTCCCCTCTAGTCAAAAGCTCAACAAATACCATTGATCAGGATAATTTCATTTAAACCTCTGTCCACGTCCATGAAAAACAACACTTCTGACAGCTTTTTAAGATGATGGCATCTTAAAATATATCTTAAAATACCGGTTGCTGATTATGAGGGCTATGTGAAACACATCAGCTGTGAAGCATCTGTTTCCGGTAATTGCAAACCACTAGCTTGTAATTTTTATCTACTAGTTTTGAAAACATGGAATATATACTGAATGTGGCCAATGCTGAAAGCATTCTTGATATTAAGTTTGCGGTAACAATTAGAGGTATGAAAAGCATTCCAACAAGCACAAACAAACGCCGTTTTACTGAAGCTTCTTACGACTATTTCATAGCCAGGCTGTCTCTTACCTCTGATTCTTTGTAATAGCGCTCAGGAATATCATCACTGGCAATATCAATGAAGCAGACTTCTCGCTCAAGATCTTTAGCTTCTTTGTCAAAAATCTGCAAGAATTAAAGAAACTTTAACACTGACACAGGCAGGAGTATCTTTCTATGTTTAAAGGCACCTGGCTTGGAACTACTGCTCCGTAGCTTTGCTGATAAAAACATACCTTGCCTGTTACGGGGCTGTTCCACATATTCCCCCTGTAAATAATACAGTTTTAGATTCTTTTGTCTCTGAAATGCTTTGAAAGTGGCAATACCGGATGTTTTTCCCAATCATTCACAACTAGGAGGAATTTTGCAACTATTCCAACTACACCTTACTTGCTGCTTGCACTATCCCAGACCACTTCTTCTAGTCCAAAAGTTCGATGAATGGCATTCTCACTTCTTCCATTTCCTAGCAGAAGTTCTTGTCTAATCATTTACATTTCTTACCATCTTAGAATGTCCTCACAAGATTTGCAGCTAGTGATTAATTCTCATTAATTCTCATTCTATTAGCAGTCGAAAATAAGAAGCCATTAGAGAACAAGACTGATTTCTTAGCTCTAATTCTCTTATTGCCTCTCCTAGACAAATAATCTGGGATGCTCTTAAAACCTGCAGGGAGGATGGGTTGATTGCAATTGTGATCAAAGAAACGAGAAAAATTAAAAAGTTTTAAAGGAAGAGATGAAAGGCCATGAAAAGAAGCATAAGGCCCCCAATCTGTGCAACTATATTTGTCAATGTGCAGAAAATGAATGGAGAGAACAATCTGTATCCTTAAGAACACAATGCAGAAAGGCTGAATACTAAATAGTATATTGGTAAGAACTAGACAAGCTTTACATTTGGAAGCCAAAGAGTTAATTAAGATTGAACTATACAGAAGCAAATAAATTTTAAAAAAATCAAAGAAACAAAACAAAACAAACAAACCAAAAACCCCACGAAGAAAGAATAACATTCAGACTAAGGTACTTTTTACTGGCTTTTTTTTTTTTTTTTTTTAATCTGTGACAACTTTCAGATATTTCTTTTAGAAAGTGATGGGTTAAAATATATCTGTTTTGGATTTGTTTTTAGGCAAGAAAACAGGGTCTACTATGCTGTGTGAATCATATTAACTTCTGTATCACCAGACAACCCCCAGACAACACATCCCTTACAGACTACTTAATCTTTACAATGAGATTTAAGTAGGATTAAAGTGGTGATTTAGCCTCAGTCTCAATTTTGTAAAACTGTGATTTATACTGTAAATGACAACAGCTTAGATAATACAGGATCATCATAATTAGGTCTGCAGCATCTTTTGCCAGCACACAACTGGGGCATTTAGGATTTCCTGTGCATTTGTGAGTTCAGCTGCAGTCAGCGTGGCCGCTTTCAGCCCGGGGTATCTTTAGTTCAGCGTCTGACAGAAACGATGTGCTCAAAATGACCGTCACTGAGTGTGTGAAGTGGATGGCACTGCACCACCAGCCATCGACTGACAATCCAGAGATGCTCAGTACCCTCATACAGAAACAACCCGAAAGAGAAGTGGTCCCTCCAGGTAACCCAGCCTTTGCTTTCAATATATTTTGCTTGCAATGATGCCTAGAAGGTCCTTGAGGCAGAGTGCAGGGTGACATTCTCATGCTCACTGGGGCTGAGGTAAAGCACAGCTGAACCCATCCCAGCTGACATTAGGGTCCAGCTTCCCTAAACAGTGCATTTACACGTACTATATCAAGTTTATTATAAGCTAGTTTCATGTTTCTAAGATAGGAAAGAAGAGTCCAGGAGGAACATGCTTGGCAACACCAAGGTCAAGGGGAAAGAGCAGAGTCCCTCAGTAAGGATGCTGGGACTGTCATTGCTGCACTACCGAAGGCCATGGATACAGCAGCCCAGCTGCCTATTTTTCTGAAAAATGGAATAAGGGGAGAAAAGAACATATTTATATATAATGAGAATCCTAACAAATTTCATCCCAAGGCACTAAATACCACAATGATCTGTCTTCAGTGTAAATTAAGCAAAAAATCTTAGATAAAGCCTGGAGAAGATTAACTGTGTACAGCCAAAGGCTCATAAATCTAGTCACAGCAGTTAGTATTTATACCCATTTTACAGTCCATGACCCAGGTTATATTATCATCATTTCAACAGCTCTCTATCTCGGGCACTTCTGAAGTGTAAATGGGAGGATCATCAGGAAGATATTTTTAAAGACCTTATAAGAATCTACTTCTTATTAAGATAAATCACAGACATTGCAGACAGCTGTAGAAAGCTTTAAAAAAAATCATAAAAGCCAAAGCTTATAAGACTATGGCCTAAAAATAGAACTAATGTTTTCTTTGTTTCTGTAATCCTGCATTAGAGGACATTTAAGGAAAAGACAGCTGGATATGAATAAACATGGGTTACTTCAGTTTTAGAGGACATCAGTTTTTAAATGCAAGCTTACACTCCGTTTATAAATTACAAACAAAATCACTTTTACACACAGTAATTAACAATTAGTATCAGAAATGCTTCTTTTTCATATGGCTGTCAGTAGAAATGTCACTCCAGTGCCTGAGGAGCGAGCATCTCAGGGAGTCAAGGTGACATCTCAAATAAAACCCCACAGTGAATGTGACACTCGCCGAGCCCACACCGCTAATGCAGCCCTGTGGTGCATGGCCCATGCTAATCCATGGACACGCTGTATTTGGCCCATCACTACAATTCAAAAGAAACAACTGTTACTCTGTACAGAGTACACTGCACTTAAATACTAAGAATAGAGATGGGGGAAAAAAATAGAGATGGGGAAAACAAACTAGCTTGGAATAAAATTAGCCTTTTGTGAGGTAAACACTGACCAATCACAACATGGATGAATTAATACCAGAATTATTTACCTGAGTAAAAAAAAAGAAGTTAATAAAGTCTATTAACAAAATCATACTTCCTGTGATTTCTGAACATTCAGTTAATTAGAAAGTTTAACAGTTTTCTTCTGTTTAACTTATGGTAATAATAATTTAATGAAAAGCTACTGTTCAGAAGGCAGATTTTGTGTATCCACATCCCAGTCCTCTGGTTACTTTTCCGATGGGCAGCAAGGTGTGCAGAGAGGGACTCAAGGTGTCTGCAGTTTGTCAGCGCTTGCGGTGTGGCTGCAGGCACCTGCACTCTCCTCTCCCTGGCGCCGCTGCTGGAATTTTTGCCTTTTGAAAGCAGCCAAAGCAGCACGTGCTGCATTTAAGTAAAAGATGCAAGAGGGAGGCAATTCTTGCAAATACTCTCATAACTCTATCAACACAAATACAGCACCGTACAGATGCCACCTACAGTGTTGTTTGTATTTTACAAGCCAGTCTAATCTTTAGAAATACTGTTTTAAATTTTAAAATAAACACTTCACTTTTTAAAAGACTCTTACGACTAAATATTGAATGGCTTGACTTTGTGGCCATTTGGTTAATGGTGCTGCAAAGCTGCAATGGAGCAGTGGCAATATTTGATGTCCTAACATGTTAATCCAATAGTGCTTCTGTTTTGCTAAGTGGAGAGTTGCCATGTGAACAGCTAGAGGCATCAGTGATGCTGTAGCACTAGAGAGCATCAATGGATGGATTTATGGCACTTTATTTCATCTGTACAAGTTTCATAAGTGTTTTTATCTAAATGATGGAATTTCCTTTTCGTTATGCACGTACTTTTTGGCAATATTTGTGCAAATCAAGTGCAAGCTCCAACAGATCAGAACAATATTGCTTGAAGCACATTTTGCATAAGTCGAAATGTTGATGAAGTCTAAGATACAGAAAGATCGAGTCCCAAAGTAGGTATCTTTCACTGGTTTATACTACCAAAGACAATTGAGAGGAGAAATTGAGGAGAATTGAGAGGAGAAATCAGGAAGACATTTGCATCAAGATACACTGTGGTAGTGTAGGCAGAATCTTACCAGACAAGGCAACATGTTAAATGTAATAATAATAATAATTATATACCAGCCTGCTAAAGGACAACAGGAACCTGAAAGCATTTATATTGCTTTCTTCCACTAATCAATGTAATTAGCTTAGTATCCTTGTATCTAATTATTGCTTTTTACAATCAATATCTACTTTATTACATGGAGAATGGATCAGAGTTCAAGAATTATCCAAAAAGAATGTACAGTCTCAAGGAAAATGTTGAAATAACTTAGTTAAAACCAAACATTCATTACTGTCCTTACAACTGCAGTAATTAGGATCACTCATTATACTTTGCATGACAACTGCAAAATTCAGAAAGTATTTTTTAGTTTAATTATTTCTTCAGCCGACAAGGCTGATAGTGCAGTGACAGCTGCAATAGTGCATTCATGGAAATTTATAAAAAATGGATGCTATGTTTCTCTGTTGTTTTCCTTTTTTTTTCTGACTTAGCAAACATAGTGAAATCTAAACTAAGCTTGAGGTTTAAGCCTTCCCGTAGAGCAATTGAGCCCAGATTGACTCTTGGTGCTAGTCCTGGGGTGCTTGGTTCAACCAAAGTGCCCCCCTAGGCTCCAGCTTTCAGTCAGCTCTCTCCACTTCCATTCAGCTTTCAGCCTCCTGCTCTGTATGAACCACATCTGCGTCAGCAGATCAATGGCGCAGGATCGATAGCAAAAAATACGTATCTTGTACGTGCCTTGTTACATTCATACTGGCGAATAACATGACTAAGAATTATAAAATCATGGCAATTAGGGCCAGAATGAAGACCTATAATTTACCCTCTCTTTTTCCTCCTTCAAAGCAGGATCAATTAAATGTTTTGGTCTTGGCAAATATTTGCCTAATCTGTTGTGACTCAGGAGCCTCGATATAAAGATGTTACAGAATTACTGTGCTAGGACTCTGAAAAAAATTACATTTTCAAGAGTTTGATTTATGCAGAGTAGATGTTTTCATCATTTGAGTATTCTGTCCCTATGTTATTTATCTTAAATTCACTGGTTTGGTACAGTCTTGATTCATAATATTTTAGCTACAAAACTGACACACAGAAAGAAAAAGAAAAGAAATAAAAAGGAAAATTCACTGCTTGGTTATGTTCAGCTTTCTCTGTGTCAGGCATCAGTACAGAACAGGTCTTCTCCCTAATGCCATTATAAATGTACCAGTGTGCACGCTGTTTTCCAAACATTTTTAACCTGTGTTTCATAAGTGCAAGGAGCTTCTTCCCAGAAGTCTGCAGCAAATACCTGTGTAAAAGCATGCTGACATGAAACATATAGAAACATATTTGTTTATTCATCCAAGGATGGGCTCTTTATGCGCTGGGTGGTATTTAATGGTCCTCTTTTCCTGCCAGTTGGACTGTTCTGCTGTGCTCCTGGCCAGGGAGACACCACCCTGCTCGACCTTGTACCTTCTATTCCCAAGTATCTCCTGATCAGCATTTCCATGCGGCGGCAGCTGCCTACTCTCTCCCACCCTCCCTCCCTAGAGGATTTGGCAGTTAAGGATCCCTCCAGCTCAGGTTCCTGCCCTTGGAAGAGCTCCTTAACCTCCAGCCCTGGCCTCGCTTCCAGCCCAGTCATTGTTCCCATGTTTCCGAGATCTCCCATTTCTGACCATTGTTTAGTTTCCTGTTTGCTCTTCCTAAAGGGCTCCTTTGAATTCAGCTCCCTTTACTCTGAGAAAACAATATGGAAAAGATAACATGGAATACAATCACAAAACAACCCTGTATCTTTCTCATTTTCCATAAACCTTCATCAGGCTTAACTGACATCTTGTGTTTAGAGAAGTAGCAAGTAGATTGTGAGATGCAGAAGCTGTGTACACAAAGCTTTGCTTTAGGCAAGCAAGGTAACCTTTCCACGAGCAGGATCCCCTGAGAGGGGGCAAATATACGAGCCTCAGGAGGCCTTTGCCCAGAGTAAATGCCTTACCCCCAATACAGATCCTAATTAATTAAACTCAGTTTTGCAAAAGCCATCATACTTACACTGTCATTGCTTCCTTTGTTGTCCTCATATTTTGTTTCTATATGAATGGAGAATTTAGGCAAAAATGAACACTGCAATAAAACAAAAATATGTTTGACATGATAAAAAATAAAATGCCTTGCTTCATTAGTTGACATATTCAGTACATCCTGTTTGAAAGCAGCTTTCTGATTTTTTTCAGATTACATCAAGAAAAATAGTCACACGTATACAAAAACTGAAAGCAAATGTTCCCGTAATTCTGGAAAGCTGCAGGGATTCTAGCTGAAAGTTGAGACTAGAAGTTTGACTAAAATTTACAATACTAGGCAACACAATTGTGTAAAGTACTTCAAGTATCTTTTCTTTACTGCTTCACTTTCTTTCAAACCACCTTTTTCACGTATTTCAGCAGATGAAGTAGATGTCTAACTACCAACCTCTGAAGGTTACCAGCTCAGCATCTTTGCTCTTATTCATCATGTCTCTTCTTGCACAAACTGTCAGTGAAAATGAGGTGCCAGTTCCTTGTATAACGCGTCACTAACACCCTATGGCAACGCGGCTGCTTAAAGACTATGACTATTTTATGTGCTGTACCGTGGCATTATACAATGAGGACATTCTGGTGCCTCACTGTTCACACTGCTCTTGGTCCAAGTTTGGACTTGACTGGGCTTGGGGAGTTCTTCCAAGGGAGGGGCTGATTACTAAGAATGGAGGTGATTTAGAGGCCTGGCTGCAGTTCAGTAACCTTGAAATGAGAAGGAAGCTCCTTTGAGACTACAGAACATATTAAAAAAAAAAAAGTCATTGTTTAATATTGTTTTCATCACCTAGCACTTATGAACACATCTCTAATCAATCCTCGGTGCAGAGTGAGAGAGCTTGCCAGATTAGGGTGCTGCTGTCATGGACTTTATAGAGAAAAGATTTATTTCAGGGTAGAAGGAAGGTTCCTGGCTCAAGCTCTCTCCCATTAGCATAGCGTTACTCTCATGTCAAATGATGCTGTTGCAGACACACAGGCTTCCTTTTGGATCAGGTACCTCTTTTGCTTTTTACTGAAGACTTCTGTGGAATGGAATATTTAAGCGTTTCCAACCACCTCTGAACTGTGACCAGCTATGCAGCTTGTTCCCTGAGTAAATGTGCAGATGACAACAAAGAACCTGCAGCGCGTTGAGTGCAGGATGGGGCAAGTTCAGCGATAGATCTGCTGGTTCCTGTTACTATGTTCTGTGGGCAATTAAACATTTCCTATGGCTACATCTCAGAAAGTGCCAGCAGAACACACACAGCATTTATGGGCAGTCTGCCAGAACTGAGGATCTTGCAACCAATTTACAAATAAATAAATAAACTAGATACTCTTCTAAACAATGCCTCAGCACATTATCTCAGCATGCTGTTATGTAGCTAGGTTGCTCCTACTCTGGCTTTTTGCATTTGTGGGAAATTTCCAAAAAAAATCTTATTCTTTAGGAATTCAAGACAGCTACGTAGTTTCAGTCATGAATCAAAGGAGGAAAAAGGCTCTTTCCCTCCCATCTTCTGCATCCCTGGCTTAGCACGCGCTGCTGAGCTCTGCACGGCCGCCCATGGCACAGCCCTGCGCGCTCATCTCCTGCCAGCTCATGTGCTAACTGATCCGAACTTCAATCCAGCGCAAACTGCGTCAGCAGCTGGGAGCAAGGCTTTAGCTGGCAGGAGAGATGAATAGAAGGGGCTGATCAAACTAACTCGTAATTAGAGTGAGTAAAGTTATGGAATGTAGTGTTACTGAAGATATGGAACGACTCAGGAGTCACAGGGCTGCCAGCATGTCCTCAACCAATGTTAGCTGGCCCTTGGAGGATATGCTGTCCAGTCAATATAAAACAGCATTCTAGTCATTTCCTGTGCTTGTGGGAGGACGCAGAGGGTCGAAAAAGTAAATTACTACTGAATGTGGATGGTAACAAGCATATTTGAAAAATATATAACCTAAGCACAGACATTTAGTACTGCATAGTTTTTACAGCCCTTGGAAAATAAACACATTGGTTTATTTGGCTAGGCTGGAGAAAAAAAATAAAAGAGGGAGCAGGTTATGGATCTCAAAAATCAATTTATGGCAGCTCTGCCTTTTACAAAGGTATATATTAATATATATAACTGCAGGGATCATAGTCCAAGCACGCAGAGCTCCTGCTGACAAGCTAGAACTCTGCATCTGGGCATCCGGGGGGAAAGCATCCTTGAGGAGACGCAAGATGCCTGCCAAGGAATATATCAGCAATTCCTAGTGCTGTTTACTGAATGCCACACCTGACGCTACATTACTGAGGGCTCAATGCTTATATGTGAATAACACATTTAAGAACATTTCCACCAAAAACCATAGCGATGTATGCTAGGCTATTAATCATATAGTAGCTGCTTAGAACAGTTACTAGGAAAACAGCTCACTGGTCCTATCTGCATTGCAAGATTGCAGTTCGAGGACATGTTTTATTAGTATTTTTCAAATATCTTCCCTACTGTTTCAAGGACTGAGATTTAACTGTCTTTGCTACACAACTAACATCAACCCTCAAAGTAAAATCTAGTAACGAATAAAAATAGAAGCAGTGGGTGACATAAGTGATGTATCGCTGGGGAAGGGTCACCAAGACTACGGTGCTTTAGCAGATTGCATCAGGTCTGCGAGCTAGTGAGTCAAAAAGTCTGAGTCTAAAAGCTTGTCCAAAAGTGGCTACAGAAATTGTCCTCTTATGACCCTATCAACTGGAGACAGGACAGCTTTCCTCCCAGCTTCCAGCACAGGATGAGGTACTGCTATCATTGCCAGGCTGGACAATCCTACTGGCGGAAACAACTTCCCGACAGCCTTTTTTATAGTTACAGCTACACCCCTAAATGGTTCCTCTTCCTTTGTTCTGATAAAGTATTCTTGTTTATGATCTAACTATAAAATTTCAGGTGTTCTTGGATTGAGTGTATTTTTCAATATTTAAATACATTTTTCTTTATCAGAACACTTGCTTTTAAATAACGATTTCAGGTACAGCAGAGGATAAGGACACAAAATTGGAAAAATCATTGTGGTGTTAGTGTGAAGCATGGCTGCAGGTTCAGGACAACAGAAGCTCTTCCATGTAACAGTGGAGATTCTTATACAAAGCCAAATGTCCAGCTTCATTTTTACCTTGCTCTGAGAAGTATCTCCTACCTTCACCTGCACATAAGCGGCTGTGAGTCAGAGAATGATACTTCAGAGAGCAGTCATTTTATATATCGTGATCCAGGTTGCCTGGAGCACTTCTGCAAGCCACTGCTTGAATCAAATTGCTGTTGCTTGTGACCCAGAGTCTAAACTCTAATTAAAAAATCTCCCACTCTAGTATTTTGAAAAAGAAACACTAGATTAGTGTAGAAGAAGTGTCATCCACCTCAGGCCACATCATGAGGAAGCAGAAAGTCATTTCTTGCACGAAGCTGTCAAGAGGCAACCTCACTATATAATTAGTGTGAAGGTGAGGGCTGTAACAATCTCTTTGGAGACTATAAATGGTAACATGAATTTACCCAAGACAAAAACTAACAATCGCCAGAAGGTCCTGGATACCTTTCCAACCTCCACTGACTGGCAAGCACAGTTTCAGCAGCAGTGGGGGGTCCTTTGCCTTTCAAAACAGGGTCCAAAATTTTGCCCATTTCACAGAATGTGTCTCATGACTCACCAGTTGCACTCTGACTAATTGGCAGAGGGCTCCAGCAGAACCCGAGAATGTTTATATATCATTCAGAAGAGTTGGTTATTCATCCTGCAGAAAGTCCTTTTTTTCTCCCCTTTCTTGTTGAGGAACAGCGTATTTACTTAGCCAAGCATTGCAAGTGTTAGGCAACCCTCCGAAGCGAGCCTGGCACTGAATGGCAGGCAATGAATCTTTCAGCAGATTTTTCTTCCAAAGCACCACTCCCTTCTCATGCTGCCTCCCTCGGGCATGTGTTCTTCCAGCACAAACCTGGCAGCTCATCGATACGCGGAGCACGCACGGGAATGCGCAGGGCACGCTTTCCAATTTTCCATTTCCCTATCTCTGTGGTTTGCAGGGTTGCTCTTAGAAAAAAAAAAATAGTGGCCAATCCTTAATTTTAAATCAGACTTAAGTTCTAAAGAGTATGACAAAATCTTTGGAGTCTTAGTATCTTTAGGGTCTGAGGGTTTCAGTGATAACATTTGTCTATGTAAAACTCTTTACAGAGGTGTCTTTAATATTGTTGCCTCCTGAATGTTTTGATATACCTGTAAAAATTTCTTAGCATCCAACACTTACTATGAAATTCTAAAGTAAATTAGTATTCCGTATTTTTTAAGCCAACTTTCTATTTATGTAACTCTTAGAAAAATCAGGAGTGCTTTAATCTTGAGAAACCAGTGAAATAACTGGAGTCTGTAATAGTAATTATCAGGCATAAACAGGGGAATTTCCAGATTAAAATAAAATAAAAATGAAAGCAACATGCGGAAAACACACACTGCAGCTGAATTCTCAATTCAGGACAGATAGCCCCTTGAAAAAGGAAAGGGCTATTTTTAGCATGATGATTGATTAGTGTTACCATGGCAATAAGAAACTCTTAGAAGAACAGGTTAGAATGTAAGTAAGCCAAAACACTTGCCAAAGTCTTAAAGAGACAGTCGAACACATATGGTGCTTTACAATCGATATATGGAGTTGACTGTAAAATTAACCTTTGCAAAGTAATTATATTTGAGGTGGCTGAAAGAATTCCTACAGTGGCCAATGAATACACTGGATAGAGGGTAACTGAAAAAGGTTCACCTTCTATAACCTATTCTATATAAGTGAGTGTTATTTAATCTATGACATTTTTGCTCATTTTATTTTCCAATTGGTTTCTTTCAGTAGAATATTCATAGAACTGCTAGAGCCCTCATCGTTGCAGTTCACTTCTCCATGCTCCTTGTGAATATGAATCTTCAATCCTTGGAAGCTATTTTGGTACTGTAAAAATTTATGCCATCCCTTCTCTTCTCTTCTCTTCTCTTCTCTTCTCTTCTCTTCTCTTCTCTTCTCTTCTC